TCAGACCATGTTTTCTTGTAAGTAACCTGATGATTGTGCACTATACAATACGTCTGCTGTATTGATTCACTTGATTTAACTTTTTAGGAAAGTTTGTGTCTGAAAGTTGTGAAGTGTAAAATTTGTGAATACAGAATGTAGTTTTAAATGTTAGATTGAGATTTATAAAATCAGTGGAACAGTGATTTCCATTTTATTCCACATTATTTATAACCATCTCCTGAACTTTGCTTTGTACATGTAACCACAACATTATAAGAACGGCTTACAATAAGAACTTCTGTTATAGCGAGAAAGTTCAGCCACGCCATGAAGGAGTTAATGTAACATGTATAGTGCATACAAATATAAAAAGGATTCTAAACGTGTCCTACATTGCCATATACTGAACCTAGATCTGGAATTAAACAATGACTTTTTATATTGGCTGATTCTAGGACAGTGGGTTATAAAATCTTGCTTAGAGGAGGCTGGATTTTTGGGGCAAGTTTTGATGGACCACTGTCCACAAAGGATATGTGTGTCACTGGCTTTCATCTCTGTTTATGTGTGTGTGTAGGAGTTATTACATTTTTGCCTTACTGTACAGTATTTGAACAAAACTGTATTACAGCATGGCAACAAGGAGGCCAGAGCACTTGGTAAATAGTTAAAGTATTCTGTAAGTACAGGACATTGCGAGCAAATTACCAGAACTCCCCCATACCTTGTTGCAAGTCGGGCAGATTGAGTTATCTTTTTGAAACTGAAAATTGTTTTGCATTATGACTGAATACATTTTATTTACTACATTTTAGACCTGTTCACAGCAGATAAACATTGGTTTCTTAACTTTACAGGCAGAAGTACAAATATGTTGCAAGGAAGAGAATTGTCCAGCTTCATACACCATCAGCTGCACCCACAATTAGTGGAACATCCAATTCAAAGTAAGCAAACCTTGTTTAAATCGCCTTGGAAGTTTCATCATCATGAGATTTCCTCATGTCTTTTACCCTGTCTTCATCTGACAAACTGCATGTAACCTTTAGTCTCAGACTCGCTTTCGCTGTCATGGTAACTTGTATTGTATTGTTCCCTTATTTTACTGTTTATGGTATTGCTCTTGGACAACATTATGGAATCAAAACATAAATGTATGAGTAATAATGAAGTAAAGAAAAGCTGTACCATGATGAGACCGGATGAGAAAGGAAACATTCTAAGTTAGTTGGTGCAGTGGTATGAGCGCAGCAGCAGTTGACCTTACTTTCTGTTGCTATTTTGTTTCAAAGTCTAACTTTCCATTGATATTTTACTTTAATGCTTCACATTCCGATGATACTTTATTATATTAGTTTGTTCAGAAATAATTGTTTATTTATTTTGTCTTTCCTTAGCCATGTTCCCATATCCCCATTAATCTCATGCAGTGTTAAGTTCATCTGTTGCCGTTCCACCAAACACAGTGTTTTTGAGGGATGTATCTGCCACATAGGACGATGGTTTAGTGTGCATTAAAATATTTTTCAGATAAAAGTTTCATTGTTTAATGATGTGAATGTTTTATGCTTGTATCTTTCCTTGAAATAGTGTTGTCAAGCTAGTGGCAAATTCTAAAGTGGGCTTCATTTATATTGTATGCGAAACATGGCTCCTTTTCCTGCACTTCGATAAGTTAATGTCGTTATATAAAATATTTTGATGGTATATGTGTCATGCATGTTATTCCATCCACCACACATTTTATCCTTCCACAAAAGCTCTAAGTAATTTACTTCCATCTGTTGCATTCTTAATGTATATGGCAAGATCAAAATGTTCCAGAAACTCTCTCTTTTTTTATATAGACCTAAAGTAGAAAGGGCTGGACCTCCCCTGAAGAACATGGAGTTTGTAATATTGGGAAAAACCACAAGACCAAGGGATGAGCTGAAGAAGGAAATTAAAAAGCTCGGTGGGAAAGTTGTAACAAACATCCATGACAAACTTGCAGCTGTTATTTCAACCACAGGTAAATTTGTCGAGGCTGTGTGAACTTTCATACCACATTTTGAGTGGCATAAGACTCTTTATGGTATGCAGTACTAGGTAATGTTACAGAACCAGAACTTGGAATAAATTGTCTTTCACCTAAAACATCACCAGCTTTAACTCAAACTTTTCTGTTGCCACAGAATCGTTTTGTAGCTAATGTGGATAATGTTGTCTGTAGTTGTAGGTTTTCTGTGTGTTTTATATTGTACATTATTGGGATTTCTAATAAGTCTTATGTCTAAGAATTTTACAACAGTGTCTTTCTTTTTCGTTGGTAAGTGTAGTTTTGGATTTATTTAATTGAATTCTGTATAAGTTGCTTGATGGGTTTTCCCTGTGGCCACGTGGTCTGAGGCATGGACCTCGTGCGCCTGGCCACTGGGACCATGGGTTTGAATCCAACTCAAAGCATGGATGTTTGTCTGAGTCCTTTCTCTTCCAGTCTGATGGATAAAGACTGGCCACGGAAGGCAA